TCATACTGGTTCTGTTACTTTTGCACGAGTGTGCGTGGTAACGGCTATATCGCCAAAGTAAGCTTGTCCTCTTAATAGGGTTGCATATGATGTCCATCATATGATGGACGAAAGCTCAGCCCGTTTTACCTTGAAACGAGGGAGGAGATCTCGTGGACTGCGTCAACCTGAACGCAGTATAAAAGCCAAACGGCGGCAGTGCAATGGGAATCATCCGTCCTCTTCTGGTGAGATTGACCTACGAATCTCTTCTTCATGTACTTTCATAGGAAATGAAAGTCCCTCAACAATGTTTTATCAGGAGATTCATAGAAACCCAGTTTCTCTTCGTATCTGCAATGTACGTACGGTTTGACCTCTTGTCTACACTATAAACAAGAAAATTATATCCCGGCAAGCTAATAAAATTAGATTTTTATAAATTTGTATTTTTCACAATTTTGTTCCTGTTTTGTTACTCGGTAGACGTTTTAATTTACCGACGCCCACCAATAGGGACGTGATCAGGTTTTGTGTGGTTTGGTTTAAACTAGGCTCAATGAAAGCATTAACAGACTACATGTGGTAATTAGAACTAAAACTGGGTTTAGGCAATCCCTTAGTGAAATATTGAATGATGTGGATTTCCTTAAGTTACGAGACATGGCTTACGGGTTAGGAGAGGAGACTGACAGAATGACCCCTCGGAAACATGATACGAAGCTCCGTAATTTAGGAATTAGAATTAGATCGAGAAACTTTGTGCCTAAGTTAAGTCGTACAAAACATGGTTGCAGCAAAGGATACGGTAATCAATTTATCTAGTACAACTCTGGAGAATAGTGTAGTATTTTTATTGGAAAGAGGATTGAATTTTGCTCTTCCAAAATGAGATAAACCATTCACAGGAAATACTTGTTGAATTAATTAGTTCATCTGACGGATTGCCTGAAGAGGTAAGGAATAATATTGAACTGGAGGTGATCCTTCATTTTGACCATATAATACCGCCAAAGAAAGCTTGTCCTCTTAGTAGGGCTTCTCGATAGCTGTGTGGTAGTAATCTAATCATAATGAAAGCCGACTAAGGTGGAGCAGTGGTAGTAATGGCTAAGTCAAGTTATGTAAAATAATGCTAGTTCATTTAACTGACAATAACACTCATAGGCCTTTAATAAGAGATCCGACAGAAAAGCTTGAGACTAGGGTAATGGATGTCCTTAGGGTATGCGTAAGTAATGGTGAAATGGAGAAATTGAAAATGAATTTACTACTCCAGAGAGATGCAAGGACCCCCACGGCTTACGGTCTCCTTAAGGATCA